GTCTCTCCTGGGGGGAGACAACAGCCACATCCACATAACCCAACCATATCTGCACCTCCTGTAGCCTCATCCTCTGGGTGAGGGCCACCACCTGCTTCTGCACCAACTAATCAATTATAGACAGCAGCCAATACCAGACCAACCCACCATCAACTGCTCTACATGAACATCTAACAGAGATCTTTGCACACATTCTCACACTCTATCATACCAACCAGAGTATAAGTGGTGAGTGCCAAAGTGCTGCCAACCTAACAAATAGAGTAGCACAACAACCCCACTCACTTAGATATACCAAAACAAAATAAAGAAAAAGAAAACCTAGACAAATCACACCAACATACAATCACCAATTAAATATAAATACAATGAAATCATTATGTCTCAGAGAAAACTGACAATTCCAGTTCACACAAAGAAGTAAGACAAAGTAGTACAAACAAAGGACAAGAATGCACAACCATAAAAATTTCCCTGAGTAATAACTGACATTGGAACTACATGATAAGGAAATTAAAAGAATTATATTTAGACATCTTCAATGGGTTGTGAGACAGATCAGGCAAAACATGACAAAGTGAAGGAAAAAAAAAACCAGATGGAACTACAAGAATTCATTGTACAAGAACAAACTGACAAAATAAATGAAAAATTAGAAATTTAAAAAAAAACCCAGCAAATAGAAATCCAAAAGATTAATACTAAATTGTCAGAAATAGATAACACATTGAAAGGGCAAAGGAGTAGAATCAAATCAATGGAAGACAGAATTAGTGAGATAGAAGCACTACTTTATTAAGGGAACAATCAGAAATATGAATTTTAAAAAAATGAAGAAAGCCTACGGTTTATGTGAGACACCATCAAGAGGAATAACTTAAGTGTGATAGGAATTCTAGAATAGGTAGCAACAAATAAGACCATAGAGAAAATTGTTGAAGATTTGTTAGAAAAGAATTTCTCTAATCCAACTCATAGCATCCCCCATTGGGTTTCTGAGGCTTTAAATCTTTATGGAAGTAGATTGCCTCATCTTCCTTCCATGTAGAGCTTGGTGGGTTTGAACCACCAATCTTCTGGTTATCAGATAAATAAATGCCTTAGGTACTATACCACCAGAGCTGCTTAATATGATGAAAGATGAGAAGATATGCTTTCAAGAAGTTAAATGAACTCCAAAGAAGATAGATCTCAAAAGAAAATTACCAAATGTACCATAATCAAACTTTCCAAAACCAAAGACAAAGACAGAGTTCTGAAAGCAGCATGGGAAAAATGAAGTTACCTACAAAGGGCAACCAATAAGATTAAGATTTGATTTCTTGACAGAAACCATGCAGGTGAGAACACAATGGGATGACATATATAAAACCCTGAAACAAACAAACAAACAAACAATTTCCAACCAAGAATCACGTACCCAGTAAAATTGTGCTTCAGATATGATGGTAAAAATGGAACATTCCAGATAAACAGAAATTAAGGGAATTTGTTAAAACCAGACCAGCCTCACAAGAGATTCTAAAGGGAGTCCTTTGAACAGAGAAACAACAACAGCAGACAATAACCTGTGATTAACACACACCTGACAACATATCCCAGAAACTAATTCAGATATAGAAGTATCTAAAGTAAAATAAACTTACAAGACTGAAAGCAGGGAGCCAGATATATCAATTGGTAAATGAAGATAAGTACAGAACAAGAAGAGGTAATAAATAGTTAAGTACAGAACTTCTAAATGGAGTGCAAGTCAAGATGATTTCAAGATAGAATGGACCTAATTTAAACATGGAAGAAAATAATAAATCACAGGATAACCTCCAGGAAAATTAATAAATCTTCTCATCAAAATTTTAAAAAGAGGGAAGGTACAAATATTTAGCAAATACTAAAACAATGGCAATGAAGGAAATGATGAAAAAATTCATAAACAAAATGAGCTCAGCACAGAAAATTATATGGAACAAAGAAATTAGCACCACCACAAAAAAAGCACATAAAAAATGACATCGATAAACTCATACTTGGTGACAATTATACTGAATGTAAATGGATTAAATGCACCAAGCAAGAGACAGAGAATTGAAGAATGGATAAGAAAACATGGTCCCTCAATATGCTGTCTACAAGAGACACACCTTAGACACAAAGACAAAAATAGACTAAAAATCAAAGGTTGGAAGAAAATATATCAAGCAAATGACAATCAAAAAAGAGCAGGAGTAGCAATATTAATTTATGGTAAAATATACATTAAGACAAAAACCACCACAAGAAACCAGGAAGGACATTGTATATGATTAAATCAAACAAGAGGATATACCATAATAAATATCTATGCACCCAATGAAAGAGCTCCAAAATACATAAATCAAACTTAAATAGAATTGAAAAGAGAAATAGACAACTCCACAGTAATAGTAGGAGACTTTAACACACCACTTTCAATGAAGGATAGAATAGCTATAAAAAAAACTCTACATAGACACAAAAGAACTAAACAATATAAGTAACTTGAGCTTACAGACATATACAGAGCATTTCACCCAACAACGGCACAATATACGTTCTTTTCCAGCACATGTGGAATATTCTCCAGAATAGACTATGTTAGGTCATAAATCAGTAAGTTAAAAACTTTGAAATGCTGCAAAACATCTTCTCAGATCACAATACTACAAAATTAGAAATCAGCCATAGGTACATAAAGGGAAAAAAATCAAACACATGGAACTGAATAAAACACTCCTTTAAAAACTACCAGGTTATAGAGGAAATAAAAAAAATGAAAAAAAAAAAATCCTTTAATCAAACAAGAATAAGACCACAACCTACCAAAATCTTTGGGACACAAAAAAGCAGTACACAGAGAGCAATTTATAGCAATAATTGCATATATCAAAATAAAATAAAAAGAGCCAAAAGCATCACCTTACCTAACAACTCCAACAATTAGAAAAAGAGCAACAAAAAAAGCCTACAGTCACCAGAAGAAAAGATAAAACAAAGACCGAACAGAAATAAACAAAACAGAAAAACAATAGAAAGAATCAACAAGACTAGAAGTTGGTTCTTTGAAAAGATCAGTAAAATCGACAAACCACTGGTAAATTTAACAAAGGAAAAGGAGAAGATACAAATATCACAAGGAAGAAATGAATTGGGCAACA